AGCAGAAGGCTGGAGATAGAGGCAGAAAAAGCTGGTGTAAGCTTGAGCTGGAGTCCCAGCTACAAGCCTTATCTGCCTCTGCTGACTTTCCAGGTTCCATCTCCACGTCTGCTATAGCATTCGATGTCAGTAAGTGTATTTCTCTAGTGCTCGCTTTTAGGGAAGCTGAAGTTGATTCATACTTTGCACCATTTGAACGCCTTGATAGTGCTTTGCAGTGGCCTATTGATATTTGGCCCCTTTTGTTGCAGTGCAAACTGTCTGGCAAAGCTCAAGAGGTGGTGGCAGCACTTCCTTTAAAGGAAAGCCTAATCCGAGTGTTAAAGCAGCTTTCTTGCAAGCTTATGAATTGGTCCCTTATAGGCAGAAGTTTCGACAGCAGAGGAAACTTTCAAACCTATGTGGAGTTTGCCAGAGAGAAGGGGATTCTCTTTGATAACTGGTGTCTTGCGTCGAAAGCCAGTGATTATGACTGCCTGCGAGAGGTAGTGTTGCTGGAAGACTTTAGAAAGCATTCCTGAATGTGTAGTTTTGTATTTAAATGATGTGATGTGCTCACCTATAAGTCATCATTCCATGTCAATGAGAAGCACGTGTTAGCTCTGTGCAAGAGCTCCACGTGGCTAATACATCTGTAATTGTTTCAAGCATGGTAAGTGCTGATCAAGCCAGTAAAGAACAGCAAGCCTATTTTGTAGAACAGGATGTTTTAATGTCTCAGTGGTCTCCATCAAGTTTGGAAAGGGCAGACTGGAGTAAAGTTAGGCAGATTGCTATACCAACCAGCGTCCTTCTCAACCAGTTAGGGGGTTGCGTCCTTCTCCCATATGCTCCCAGTCCTTTTCCAGTCCAACCTTAGTGGTGCTGTTCTCATATTGTTCCCCACTGAGAGTACACCTTGGAACAATCATTGTTCTATCGCACTTGGGACTTGGTACCCAATCTCTGGTGGGCGTGATAAAATTTACCCCCTGACCTGTAGTTCTGGCTGCTCGTTGCTGCAGCATTTGTGTTGTACCCCATCAATCTCTAGCCGTGAGAGCAGTTCCTTCTTCCGAATGTTGAAACACTGAGCTACTAGTTGTTGCGCCTTCAATCTGAATGTTTCAAAAATTCCATCGGGCCCTCATCCTATTCGTGTAACCCCTTCCACTGGGGTTACTTGCGTAGCAGCTTCCAACAAAATGTTCAACAATATGATACAGCAGAAAGCAAAAATATTCAGTTCAACCACTAAGGGTTTACAAAATGCGTGTAAAAAAAAAAAAAAAAAAGCACACTGTATACAGATTTTAAAAAAAGAACAAAAAGACAAAAGATTAGAAAAAGAAAAAATATTAAAAAAATAGAAAAATAAATTGACCAATATTACAAAGGACAATTAAAGGAAAATACTGGACAATAGCAAACACAATATTAAGGGAATATGGGGTATATTGAATATTATTATTAAACATATTTCTGCACAACAAAGTTATCCTCAGTATTTTATTGATAATGGCATCATAGAGGACAATGCTGCTGATGTAGTCAAGAGCTTCAACAGTTATTTTGTAAATGTTGGACCAAATCTGGCATAAAGAATTGCAGAGCCTCTGTTGACTCTATCTAAAGCCTGATTGATAGGAATCCTAACTCAATGTTCCTTACAGCATGGGAAGAATAAGAAATAACTCCTGTCATAAATAAGTGTAAATACAAATCCAAAATACTAAAATTCACTTATCTAGTTCATTTTCACACTGCACAAGTTGAATTGAAAGCCTTTCTTGTTATTATACATAGTATAACAAGATTTAAAACAGCTCTATAAAATTATGTTTAAAGCAATAACCAACCTACTTCCAGACAATATTCTAAAAGGGATGGGAAAATACAATCTGAGGAGGAAAATAAATGTAAAACATCCCTTTATCTGTACGGTTTTAAAAAGTTGTTGCATCTTGTATGTGGAGTATACCTGTGGAAAAGACTGGGTAAAAAGATGAAGCAAAATCCCAGTATGACTGTTTAAAAAGAGCCACAAAAATATGTTTTTCACAAAGGAGAGGGAGTATGTAGGCTTGGACCTGGTGCTGTCACCCACTATTCGTGTGTGTGTGTGTGTGTGTGTGTGTGTGTGTAAACATATGTGTGTATACATATATGTATATATGAGCATGTATGTATTAAATATTTGTAAATATGCATAACTCTTAACAGTATATTGGGATAATAAAACCATGTAACAAATTGGAAGGATTTATGAAAGGATAGGGCATAAACAAGGAGAAAAAGGGATTGATTATTAGTAGAAATGTTAGTGGGATTAAATAAGCTTATGCTTCTTCCTAGTCCTTTTTCAACATGTTATTTATTATGATTATCTTGTTTTCACTATGTTTTGTTTTGATTGTGTTCTTCATTGCTGTTATATTATTTTTTAACATGTACAAAAAAATCAGACATTTGGCTAAGTGGTAAAGTTAGCCTGATCCAGACATGTAGCAAAAATTATGTATGTATTTACATTGTGGGTTAGGTTTTTTAAAAACTTAGTCCATCAATCTTTAAATCTTCTGCCTGCTTTGGTGTCTTTGGTTTCAAACGATGCAGGAACGTAGAAACAAAATAAAAATTCATGTTCAACGCATTTTTAATGATTCTATCTTGCTGGTTGATTTCTGTTAGTTAACAGAAATCAATAGTTTTATTAACTCTGTTGCTGTTCAGCGTCCTTTCATAACACAAATATATCACAGCAAAAATTAATTAGTTTGGTTTAAGCAGTGTATTTAAGGTTTGATTCAAAAAGTTTGGAAGACAGCATTAGACAACATTATCCAGGAAAAAGAAGGTATGCTATATAATCCAACAACTGGAAGTGCGAGCAGTACTCATCAACAACCATAAAGTGCATAAATGTTCCTGGGGTTAATGTTTTACTTATAGTGAACATAACACACAGTACTTTACAGCAGTTACACCCAGCACCTTCTTTACAAAATATTATTTACATTTTGATGATGGGAAGAGTAAATACAACATCAGGGCGCTCACAGTAATAGTAAAAGCAGATATTTGTTTTTTTAAACAGACATGAATTTATTAGTTGAAGTTGCTGTTTAGCTTTAAAGAACTACCAAATGAGTTCAGCAGTGGTTTAGTGGTTTTGGAACAAACTGTATTTTTGATTTAATATAAGTTTATTAAAAGGCTTCTTTCATATTTTTAAGTTGAGGCAAAAGTTTGATGCAGGTGGGCTTTAATAATGATATAAGCTCTCTATATTTTCTCTTTAATTACACAAAATAAAACAAGGTTGTTATCATCATTTGTCTTTGGACTGAACACAGAACTAAGACAAATGTTTCTAATTGCTTCCCATTAGATTTTTCCTAGTGTACTCCATTTTAAGCCCCTGTAAGGAATTTAACTAATTCAAACACTTTACATTCAAACAAATTACACCGAAACTATGAGATGAAATATTAACAAATGTTAACAAAGAAAAGTCTGGCTCGATTATCTAATTTTCAAGGGTGTCACTTATTTAGTTTATTGCTAAAATCTTTTTTTCTACATTGACCACACAGCAATCATCCATTGAAAAAGTAGAATTGTTTCAAGGAACAAATAAACTCTTTTCCAGTTTGTCCGGGCCATCTTGTTTCTGGGTCACAGATGGGAGGAGGTGGAGAAGCAGAGCTTCAGGGTGAAAGGGCTGGAGCTATCTGCAGGTTGGAGAAAAGATGTTGACTTTATTGTGAAAGACCACTCCTGACATTCAGTTTAACATCACAAACATATGAGACATTTTGTCCTGAAGTTTGAATAATGCTTATCTGTTTGATGGCGTTCTAATTTCTTTACTTAATTTTTTTTACCCAACCTATGTAAAGCCTCATATAATAGTGAACACAAGCTGTTGCTTGTCCAATCTCATATGAGAGGCTGCACTCTGCACTGACCATGCTGAAAGAAAGGGGAACTGAACAAAACATTATACCTTATGTTAGAGTGATTAGGACCTTGAAACCCATTCGTCTTGTCTGTTAACGTCATCCTTCGTTCTAGGTAACTAGTCTTAATTTGTCTTATCTATTTTTTCTAACTTGAAGACAAAATAATTAATTCTGATTGTTGTAATTATCCTATTTCAGTAATTATTTTATATTATATATGTATATATATATATATATTATATATTTTACTATAATAAGCTGTGTCTTGTCATCCTCTTTCCCCTTGTCCTGTGTCACAACAGAGTGTGACACAGGACACTGACAGTGTGGTTTTCCTAGTAACTCTAGTGATCTTCCTCGTGGTTAATAATTTTCAGTTTGCCCTTTTGAATTTATGTTTCTTCTTGATTATTGGTACCAGCCGATAAACATTCTGCTTTAAGTCTGACTCAGTCATCCTCTGCATGTCTTGGACCCTCTTTCTCACTTTCTGAAGCAATATCAGAACATGTCTTTAGCAACTGGTTTCACAGAGACTGCCAGCAACCTGCTGTCAGCAGTTCTGAGAATCATTTGAATACTTACTGGGTATTCGGATCTGGTGGTGGTTGAGGACTGTCAGAGCCTCCACAGCTTCAGTTTTACTGTCAAACTCCAACAGACCAGACAGAGTCTTTGAGCTGGCTGCTTAGAGGAAGAGGAAGATGGGGAAAGAAGGAAATGTTTATAACAACAAAAACCACACGTGTACACACTGAATGATATCTCCTGATACCTGGACCTGAGGAGTTATTATCGCTGCTTAATTGGTTAAACTTACGTTTGGCATCAAAAACCTTGAACTTAGAGAATGCTGAAATGTTGTATTCAGTACAGAGCTGTTGGCAAGAAAGATAGAAAAGCATTTTTAAAAGCAATTCCTGCATTTTCTTTTGTTAATATAAAACTAAACTAAAACTTGACAAAAAGTGTTGGTTTTCAATGTTGGTTGTCACTGCTAAAAATACGTTTACAGTAGTGATCGTAAGACCACAGGCAAAACTGAGTAACTTGAAGATTAAATCTCCCTGAACAAGGTTATTATGATGGTATACTAGGTTTATTGACATCTTAAAATGTCAAGATGTACCGTGTGTAAAATCAAAACATTTACAAAGTTTAATTTACTGTTTATTTTATTTTATATAGTAACAAGTCTATTCCATCTATCCATCTACTTAGAAAGTTCAAGGCGTGCCACAGTGGAGCGCATACTTGTCTACTTAGAAAGCTCACTTGGAGTAGACATTCAGTCTAGCATTTCTCCATTGAAATAATAAGTCTCATGCAGGTGTGGCCTTGCCTTTTGCAACTGGTGTTGATTGAGGTTTGGTGGGGCATTGTAGAAGTGCAGCACAGTGGCGGGTGGCTGGATGATGTTCCTGCTGCTCTGTGCACTGCTGAAGCGGTTGTTCCTTGTTAGACTAAAGTCCTGGTAGCTGCAGGTGCCGTCACCCAGCTCAAAGACCTGACTGGGAATCACAGCCTGTTGCTTGGACACACTGAGCAGGGTCAGATAAAGGGATGTGTGATAGACAAAGTATTGTAAGGACATGTTATCAGTGTGAGCCAAAATCCTATGCGTCAGTCTGCTTGTTAAGGCTTTTTCTACTTTCTGTACAGTATGATTTCATGGAGGGGGGATACCTTACCAATCAGAAGAGAGTTGGCTTAACATTAAAAAAGTGAACTCAAGTGGCTTGTTTCAGGTAATGGATAAAATAGATCTCCTTTAAGTTCTGGGCAGATAGTCACTGACTGAAGTAATGAAAAAATACAATAATGCAGTATTTCTACAAATTTGCAAAGGCTGGAACAGCCCAACATATTTTATAAAAAAAAATAGAGGCTAACTGCTGTTATTTATGTAAAATACAAGTGACAGCTTGTAGGAATTTTCAGTCCTTGGAGAGTTCTTGGATATCAGGTCTTAAAAAAAATGTGTTCCTTTCCTTTATTTAAACATGCACGTTTCTTCTCAGTTTTGACCTATGATCATGACATGAATATCACTAGAGCCAATGTCAGCGTCATGTACTTTTAGGTAGCAGTTAAGATATTTTGTTATCCGGTCGTTCAGTCTGACGTCACTAGCCGTGTCTGGGCCTAAACTCCGCTGCAGGTCCATATATCAAACGATCACTATGGCATTACTGAGAGTTGAAAAACTGTCTAAAGTCTTTCATCTTTAATAAAATGATCACTATGGCATTACTGAGAGTTGAAAAACTGTCTAAAGTCTTTCATCTTTAATAAAATGATCAGCGTTCTGCTCTACCAGGTGTAACAATTGAGTTTAACATCCAGGCATCCATGAAAACGGAATTTATGACATTTAACGGAGTTAGAAGTTAGCAGGGAGTTAGCTCACTAGCTTCTATCTAAATACAATATAGCATGTCCTGACCAGAGATGGGCAGGACATGAGATGATTACAGGATATGTAATCCAATTACTTTTTTCAAGTAACGAGTAGAAAAAGGGATTACTATTGCAAAAACGGTAATTAGATTACCGTTACTTTGCCGTAGGAACTCTGCGTTACTGCGTTACTAAAACGCAGGGGTTGGGAATCGCATCTGTAACCGGAAGGTCGCCGGTTCGATCCCTGGGCTCTCTGTCCTGGTCGTTGTGTCCCTGGGCAAGACACTTTACCCTACTTGCCTACTAGTGTTGGCCAGAGGGGCCGATGGCGCGATATGGCAGCCTCGCTTCTGTCAGCTGTGGCTACAACTGTAGCTTGCCTCCACCAGTGTATGAATGTGAGAGTGAATGAATAGTGGTATTGTAAAGCGCTTTGGGTGCCTTGAAAAGCGCTATATAAATCCAATCCATTATTATTATTATTATTATTATTATTATAATCAGTAAAGTAACGGGATTACTTTTTTGGGGAAGTAATCAGTAATTAGTTACTGATTACTTTTTTCAAGTAACTTGACCAACACTGGTCCTGACTGCGGGGTTTTGGAAACAAATTAAAACGTACAGCTCTGTTATCACTTCCAACATAAATGAAGAAGATATACTAGCTGGTATATAATGATGTGTTACGTGACGGCTAGCGACACAGCTATGTTAGCATAATATAAACAAGCTAACTTTTTTTCCACTCGATAAAAGTTAACGTGAGTGTTCTCGGTGGTCAGGAACCAATGTAATCGCATGGCAGGATGCTGTAAAAGGACCAAACTTCAGCCAGGAGAACAACTGAGATAATCCATCCACAATACGAGGTTAGTCATTCATATACTGCTGCATGGGCTGGGCTGTAGTTACATCGTAAGGTTTTAAAAACTGAGCTTAAATAAATGATTAGCGGTAATAAAAGCCGAGGGAGGTCAACAGTGATCACTGACTGTTTTAGGAGTTTTTTGAGATTAAATAGAAGAAAAAACATTAAACATGTTAACAACACAAAAGCCATATTAAACGCAGACTACTTTAGGCCCGGAAGTAGGATTCGTCACGTCATCGCTTAACGACCGGATAGACTACATCAGACTCCCTACCACAAACCCCAAGTGTCTTCAAGTCTGAAGCATGCATATTTAGTGCTTACCAGACGTTGAATTTCTTGCCAAATACTTTGATACCATTTAGGTGAGTCACAGCTCGGTCCACAGCATACTCATCACCCATCTCTACCAATGCTGTGCCTGGAATGCTTTTCATGAACTTCACCTGCAAACACAGAAGATATTTTCTTTAGCTGAAGAGCTACCATTTTGCAGCATGGTAGCTGCTGATAACTGCAGTATTTATTTATTTTGCATGAGTGTCACCATCCCCTTAACCCTGCCCCTACTCTCTCTACTGCAATTTTTTAAATCATTAATATTGAAACTAAAATATATTCACTTGCTCTGAATATAAAAAGCCATGGGTCACAGGAGAGATGAGATGTTGATTAGCGCAGGCTTGAAATTACATGCTATTGATGCCCAAATCACCCACCCAAACAAACAGTGGATGCAGCTTGAAGGAGAAGCACAGTGAAGTGGATAGCTACAAACTGCAGGCTAATTAGTGTTGTTGAAGACGTGTAAGAAATCAGTACTTCAACTTTTACTTGAGTAGTTTTTAACAGTAGTATTTGCATAGTACAGAATGTCTGTACTTTTGCCAACTCTGCAAAAGACCTTTTAAGATAGAAGCTACTCGCTTTTCTTTAAATGGCAGGTCAGTTGCTCATTTTTTTTAAAAAGTAGTCCATTTCCATTTTAACTGCCTTACTAATTCATACAATTACAGAGCACCATTCCTCCTTAGCAAACCATTTATGAATACAGATATTATTATGATAATGATAATAAATATGATTGTGATTATAAACAGCAGTGATAGCTGTACATAGTGAGCAGTGAGTATAGCAGTGACAGTAGTACATGGTGTAACAGTAACAGATGGATAAACATATGTACATTTATAAATGACATACTGAGGAGGTGTAAAAAATATGTACATGATGACTTAAGGACTTTTTAATACCGTACTAATGCTTAATAGTGGGACATTTTTATAAAGTGCCACCAATACAGTAAATGAACTTCGTAGACAGCTAATCTGTGGCTGTAAAAAAAATTTGAATGCATACCTTATTTCTCAGTACACCATCTGGGGGAACACCTCTTTAATGAATGAATGAATTAATACATGCATGGTTAAGGCATACATGAGAAGTTAATACAGATTGATGATGGTCCATGAGATTTGGCTTGTTTGTTTTTTCTTTTTTTATTAAGTTCGAACTGGCCCTGTGTTCTCTGCCTGGCACTGTGGAACCCAACTTGCATTTGATCTCTACAGTCTAGGCAAAGGCACCCTGACTATCCATAGGTATTGGAATTAAATCCTTCACCCATTGTTGGACCCTACACTGGAGTATGGGTCGTAGGTTGGTCTTGGTTCAAAACAATGCCTGCTCTCATATGGCCAGAGTAAACAGGGAGTTCTTAAAGGACACCTCTGGGGCATTATGTTTTGGTCCATTTGACACGTCCCAGGTTGCACCTCAGACTGTTCAGAAGCTCAATGATGTCCTGGTCCAAATGTGGGAGGAGATTCCCCAGGACAACATCCATTGTCTCTTTAGGAGAATGCCCCAACATTGTCAGGCATGTATTCAAGCACATGGGGGTCATACAAACTACTGAGTGCCATTTTGAGTTGCTACAAAATGGACTAGTGTGCTGCATCTTTTTTCACATTTTCATTCTGTAAGCTGCTAATTTTCATTTCCATCCAATGATGTGGCATCCTTTTGTTCTAGTATAGCTATCCAGAATTATTTTTTTTCCATTGAGATCTGATGTTTTCTTTTTTTGAGCACTGTAAAAATAAACTAAATCATACATACCTAGAACATAAGTTATGATTAAGATTTATTAAAAGAAAATTATAGGAACTATTGTACAATATATGTATTTTCATATCAACATGACCTCTAAAAGTCAGAGAGGATCCTTACACACCTTCTCGACATTGCCGTAGAGACAGAAGAGGTTGAAAATACGGCTGCAGTTCATCTTAACAGGATGGAGACCGCTCACCATGGTGACAGAGCTAGTAATGCTTTTGCCAAGGAAAGAGGAAGAGAATGTGGGGGAGGTCTTCTGGAGTAGCGGGTAAGAGATCCTCTCCTGCACCTCCTCGCTGTACCTCCAGTTCTGGCTTTTAGCAGGTAGAGGCAAGAGGGGCCAGTGTGTACCTGCAAAGATACGCACAGATACTCAGGGGATATTATGTGGTACAGTCGACTCACAGTAATTGAAGTGAAACAAGTGGAAGAGATAACATATTGGCAGCTAGACAGGGAGGGATGAAGACAGACAGTACCACCTCCGTTAGATGGATGCTCTCCCAATATGGCATGACGTTGTCTCCCCTTCCCCCGCTCTGTAACAAACAAACAAAGTGCTCAAATGGGGTGATACAGTACTATTAGGTCTTTAAGATAAATTAGGGCCAGATTATTCAAGAACTTGTATGTGAGGACAAGGATTTTAAGTTTGATTGCAGTTCAAAGAGGGAGCCAGTGAAGAGAAGGAAGTATGAGAGAAAGAATATGTTATCTCTTTCTGGCACCTGTCAGTACTCTTGCTGCAGCATTTTGGATCCACTGAAGGCTTTTCAGAGAGTCTTAAGCGCAGTTGGATAATAATGAATTAGAGTAGTCCAGCCTAGAAGTAATAAATACATGAACTAGTTTTTCAGTGTCACTCTGAGAAAGGATGTTTCTAATTTTAGAGATATTGTACAAATGAAAGAAAACAGTCCTACATTTTTGTTTAATATGCACACTGAAGAACATATCCTCTGGTCAAAAACAATTTTCAAGATTCATCAGAGTGTTACTGGAGGACAGGGTAACGCCATCTAGAGGTTAGATAGCATACTAGTTAGATAACATACTTGTAAGGCCAAGTACAATATACCTTCAGTTTTATCTGAATTTAAAGGAACGAAATTAGTGAATGCTGCCTGGTTTTCAGTCCTAAATATTACTTAAGTCCCGGTACAAGCAGGATTCAGGATTCATTGCACTAATGTTAATGGTAACTTGGTTATGTTGCTGCCTCTGCTTGGTGCTGTTGAGCCAAATAGACTCAGTGTGCTAGTGTGCCAAATGGGATCTCAACTTATTTAATACCCCTAATAAGACAAAAAGTAAATGTGGAGAAACTACTGCTCTTATGTTATTTTTGTAGTGGTTCATACCACTTGAGTCTGTCACCATTTTGTGTGACAGACTCCAACCGTTTCCCCTGATTTTTTTTTTCTCTGTGAATCTAAAGCACAACGTATGTACCTCCAAGTAAAAACGATGAAAAGCAGTGAAAAGTTTTATATTCAGAAACCTATAAGCACCAGAATGTAGCTTAAAATAGATGTCAATATTTCTTTTCTTTAGTTATTTGAAACATGGAGTATTTTAGTACTAATAGTACTGCTGTGTTTGCATTACAGCATTACATCACATCTATTCTATATGACTTAAAACGGTTAAGATATGGCATGATTTCCTCACCCAATAAAGGAATATTTAGTATATCAGTCTACTCTTCATTTTGACTTTTCTTTTTACCAATATAAGTAAGCCTTCAGACAAACACAGTAGTGCCAGTATAGTAAAAGAACAATATTTGTCTCATGTCCAAAACAGCCTTATACACTTGTCTTTGAGATGAAGATATGAAGTGATATAGAAATAGAAATAAATGCAACTTGAATCCTTGCTGAAGTTCAGTATTTAAAACTGAGCTAAATTTCACTAATGAGAATTTTAAATCTAATTTATTAATACAAGAATTTTATCTTTATGCATATTATATTTGCAAAGTAAGATGACACCAGTCCCATGAACATTAGCTGCTACTTACTCTCTAATCTTAAAATTAACAGTCACGTTTTCATGGTCTTGTGCGCTCTCATCCTCAGATATTTAAGAAACCAAAAAAAAATCGCATACACCAAATCCTCAAATGACCCGGCCTTCATGGTTTACATAGGCTGGGTTCTTTGAGGATGCAGCCCTTTAATTGGGACACACCTTATCAGTCTTTTGTCCTTTTAATGTCATCTTAGTGCATTGACATTTCCAAGCTCCTCCTGAGGTTTTCCAACTGAACTGGAGTAAATTTACTCTGTTTATATTTACTCAGATTGCAAACAAAATGTATTGTGCTTTATAAGACACATTCCTGCTGTGTAAAAAGAAGATAATAATGTTCACTAGAAGGAATAAGTAAAATGTCAACATATTAATTTTACTCGAAGTGAACCATCCATCTTCTTCCGCTTATCCAGGCCGGATCGTGGGGACAGCAGCCTAAGCAGAGAAGCCCAGACATCCCTCTCCACAGCCACTTCCTCCAGCTTGTCCGGTGGAACTCCCAGGCCAGCCGAGAGATATAATCTCTCCAGCATGTCCTGGGTCTGCCCCGGGGCCTCCTCCCAGTGGGACATGCCCGGAAAACCTCGCACAGGAGGCGCCTAGGAGGCATCCTTGTCAGATGCCCGAACCACCTCAACTGGCTCCTTTCAATGTAAGGAACAGCGGCTCTACTCTGAGCCCCTCTGGCAGAACTTCTGAACCTATCTCTAAGGGAAAGGCCAGCCACCCTTCTGAGGAAGCCCATTTCTGCCGCTTGTATCCGCGATCTTGTTCTTTCGGTCACTACCTACAGCTTGTGACCATAGGTGAGGGTAGGGACGTAGATCAAGCAGTCAATTGAGAGCTTTGCTTTTACACTCAGCTCTCTCTTCTCCATGATGGAACGGTACACTGTCCGCATCCCTGCAGCCGCAGCACCAATCTGTCTGTCGATCTCCCGCTCTCTTCTCCCAACTCACTTATGAACAAGACCCCGAGATACTTAAACTCCTCAACCTAATCAAATTCAGCACCAGGTGGTGAGTTGGATCAGGTGGCGGGGGAGAACGCTGGACAGACCTGGTGCACCTAAACGTATAGTGAGGGTGTGCTGGGAATGTCTGGCAGAGGCCCCAGTCTGTGAGATTTACAACGCACACCTCCGGCAGAGCCTCACCAGCATTCCGAGAGAGAATGCGGACATTGAGTCCGAATGGACCATGTTCAGCACTTCCATTGCCGAAGCCGCTGCACTGAGCTGCAGCCGCAAGGTGGTTGGTGCCTGTCGTTGGTTAACCCCCAAACCAAATGGTGGACACCAGAGGTGAAGGGAGCCACAAGGCTAAGAAGGAGTCCTATCAGGCTTGGTTAGCCTGTGTGGCTTCAGAGGTAGCTGATATGTACTGACAGTCCAAGCGTGAAGTGGCTCGGGCAGTGGCTGAAGCAAAAACTCAGGTGTGGGAGGAGTTCTGAGTGGCCATGGAAAAAGACTTTCGGACTGCCTCGAAGTAAGCTTTAAAGAATATGCTTAAAGTGCTTTCATTGATCAGAGATTAAAAGAGGGAACGCTACCTCGGTGCAGGAGGAAGGGTTTGGTGTAATCCCAGCTGGTGTTGTTGTTGCAGATGACGTTCAGTCTGTTGGGCTGCAAGGGGCAACAGAGCACAGCACCTCTTTTTAGATGTGTGTTCATGTGCATGGGCATGACTGTGTGAGTGTATGTGCATGTGTTTACCCGAGCGTATTCAATCTTGAGTGTGCAGCAGCCAGCATAGATGTCAGCTCCATTCAGAGCCAGTTTGGCCTTCTGAGCATCCTTTACTGACTCAAATGTTAACAAGCTTGTTAAGGTTGACTCATCAGGATCAGCAGAGAAAAACAAGACTACCACAGCCCTCAGGATGATGCACTGTCAGGTTTAATGAAGTGAACTTTGATCTGGCATCAACAAAACACATCCAGTTAGCTATAATCCTCTTCTACCATCCTGTGTTCATTATTTTGTATCCAAACGAGTCTATTAAGCTCTGAACTGGAGCTTAGAAAAATGAAAATGCATGTTGGCATTTCTCTGCTAATCTGTGATATACCCCAAGAACACATGCAATTGTGTGCGCACACACACACATACACACACACACACAGTCAGGATATTCAACCATGGCCTGGATGCCGTTGCGTTTGAAGATGACAATACGTAGGACGTTACCAACTGGGTTGCACACAGTGTACAACACATCCTGAGAGAAAGACAGAGACCACACTGTAAAAACTGCAACGTACCTACTGGTCACCAAGAAAATGGACTTAAGAAAACAGAAATGGAAAATGGGCTTTAACACTTAAAACCTTTACATTTATGAGCTAATTTTGACTAAAAGTTAAAAGCTTACATTATTTTACAAATAAGCAGTGAGACATTAGCACTAATCTAAATTACAAAGATATTGTTGAGGATGTATACACAGATAAAGAATGTATACACAGAGCAAAGGCACAGAGGGTTTGTTAATAATAGATGTCTGACAATGTAAGCTTGTATCTCTGTATCTGTATTCCTGAGGCAAACATTTTAAGTAATGTACAATGACTGTAATCATTATTAACACAGGAGCAGGCGTCCTTGAAGGGTAAAAAAGAGACCTGGTTAAAGAGTTTTAGCTCAGATAGCAAAAAGTTTCTTTTCTAACACAAGTTGAAGATATGGCAAGAGTCTTAGGTGGGGTAAAGGACTTACAGTGGTAATGGGATACACAGGGTTCTGTATGGACAACAGGAGGACTTTGTTTCCACTGGAGGGGTCGTCTGTGTTGGTGGGTCTGGTGATTCTCTGGCTGGTAGAGAAGTTAAAAAAAGCCTGCTGCTCAGCGACGTAGACAGCATCACGGGTTCCGAATGACACGCAGCGCTCAGCACTCTCCACGCTGTCAAATTCCACCAGAGCCTGACGCTTGAAAGGCATCATCATTACATAACTGCCGATAGCGGAGACAAATGTGAAGGTTAGAGAAGGTGAGCAAGTAAAGTAAAAGTATGTACATTTTTATTTCTATAGCATCTTTCAACATAAACAACAAGTGCTTCACAAGAAATTACCATAGTGTCCCAGAAGAGTTAATGAAATCCAAGTCGAAAATGATGACTACTGGCACAAGCTGCACTTTGAAATCATTTCAGCGGGTCACGCAGCTATCAACTTTTGTAACCTTGCATGTTTCGCCATTGCTGCAAAAGCAGGTATGAACTGATGTGACTGTGCGATCAGTCACATCAGTGAATATAGATCCAATCAAGAACACTTATTCTATACTGTAATTTCTGTCGTTATTATTTGTGATTAAGGTAAATCACAAAATCTCATGCACATGTGCCAACTGGAAGGCAGCCTGTTTCAGTTATTACCTTTTTTCCCTCTATTCTTTAAACTTTTGTTCTTAGTTTTTTGTCTTTTACTTATTAGTAGCGTGTTAGTGTGTTTCAAATTGTTTTCTCTCAAACATGTGGGTTGAGAAAGTTTTTTTCACCTTATCGCTGTGGACTGGGGGTACGCATTTTGGAGGACTATAAATACCTTGGACTAAGCACAGATAATAAACTGGACTGGGTAAACAACCCAGTCCAGTTTACCCAATGGTGTCAGACAGGGTGGGATTTTGTCTCCAATTTTAATTAATTTATATGTTGATGATTTCTCCATGTAGCTGAGAGCCTGTAACACTGGGCGTATATTAGGTAAAACATGGATAAATCATCTTATGTATGCAGATGGCCTGGTTGTTTTTAGTCCCAGTAGTGCTGGATTACAGGAGCTTAATATCTGTACTGAATATGGTCTGCATTATGATATAAAGTACAATGCTATTAAAAGTGCTATTTTGATATGTAGAACCAAGCAGGATAAACAGCTAGATTTCTCTGTGTTTAACTGTCCCAAAATAATATTGGGGTTCATAAAAAGGTGAAATACCTCGGTGACTTTATTGTTGATCAAATGAATGATGATGATGACATATACAGACAACGATGCAAGCTCTATTTGCAGGCAAATACCATTGCACGCAAATTCAGCTTTTGTTCAGTTCCAGTTAAAGTGACTTTGTTCAAAGCGTGTTGCACACTGCTATATACTGCCCCCTTGTGGTCATCTTAGAAGCAAAGTAACATGCGGACGCTGCATGTTGCATATACATGATACAATGAGGAAATGTTCAGTGCATAGTAAGCATTGGAATCCCTAGTCACATTTGGTGCTGCGCACCTGTAGATGAAAGAGCAGCCAGGCATGTGACTGTAATTAACTTCCCCGCCACAGGGTGTCATTGCTACACATCCCAATTGTATGTGTGCACATAGTCTACAGCAACATTTTGATGTTTGTTTCTTGCCAAAAGAAAAACTGCCCAAATGTCAAGACCCAAGGTTAATAACAGTGCATTAGCTAGTATATCCTACTTCACTCATTCCCAGGTAAATATAAAGAAACTGATTCACTGGCTGCCTTCTTCCACTTGTCAAAGTTGCTCAGATGTTTGACCATTTTTTTTTTGTCATGAACTTTAGGAATTTACTGTTTATTTGGTACCTAATATATCCCACCATTTGACAGTGCTAACTTTGCACGTCAGTTTTAGTCAGGGATGTTTCCAATTTTTAATGGGTCTTTCTAGTCATTTAACACTAGGAAGAAGGCATTTGTTTCATACAGTTTAGGGTTGCAGCTTGCTAAACAAGCTTTCTAGCACAAGCTCAAAATCATGTCATGCCTGTACATTGCAAGGTGTGCACTAAAAAAAAGTCCATGATACCAAAGTCAATGTGCAATGCAATTCCAAGCTAAATGAAAGTGTGTTAATATTTTTTAAATGGCCTCAACAGTATTTAGAGTTAAACCAGGACTACCAGATGTTGCCAAACTTGTCAAGTGCCTCCACTAGGTCCCCTTCCACCACAGCATCGCAAAGTCCTCGAACATGGACAACTGGAGATGGGGGGATGCGACGACTGTCATCCAAACAATCCTGTAGAGAAAATAAAAATGAACTCAGATGTTTTCTTAATTTTACTTTGCACAAAGAAAATGTTTGCTTACTAGCGTAACCGGGGTTCTTTGAAAAGTGAGTTCAGTATCCCACTATGGTAAGCAACCTCTGGCATGACCAGTCACTTCAAGGACTTGCTGACAGGTGTCCTCTACATAAATATTCCTAAAAAGGTCCCATGAGGCAGTCATTCATCTGATGGAATGTGCACACAGCTGCAAAAAAGGCTGTGGTCCACCTTGTTGGAAGACTGGACCTCTACCACCCAGTCGGACAACCCCTGGCGAGACATAGACTTACCTTTAAAGAAGGAGTTAAAGCTACAAAGATTTGGTTGCTTTTCCTAAACCCCTCAGTCCTGTCTAGATAATTGCTTAATGTATCGATAAGGCATAGTGAATTAAAGTGGTTCTGGCTCTCATCTGCAAATGGCAAGTAGAGAAAAGCTAATAAATGGAATGGACTGGTTCTTACATGGTGCTTTTCTACTCTACCTGAGCACTCAAACCACTTACAACTCTCATTCATACAAATACCTTTTCTATATGTAGGTGTGTTCTATCTAGCACTCACACAAATCATACTACAATGGATGTATCAGAGATCAACTTGGGGTTACTATCTTGCCCAAAGATTTTTGGCATGCAGGCTGGAGTTGCCAGGGATCAAACCACCAACCATCTGATTGGGAAAATAGCAGGCAGTACCTCACTGACCCTTTTGGCTGATGCCAAAGTTAGCAATAGGATACTTTACTCAATATACTCTACAGGTGCAAAAGGTAGCTCTGAGTGTGCCTCTAGAACTTTGTGTAAATCTCAGGAGGGAACATAAACCTCATTAGAAGAGGAGTAGCCACAATCTTAGTCTTAATCAGTAATGCTCAGTATTGACATCTATCAATGATTACTGATAGCTATCAGTGAAATTGTTTGTTGCACAGTGTCTAGCACACTGTTGTTGTGGTAGACAGGCAGGTCTGCAACAATATATATTCTTGCGATAAAAGCTACATAATTACTGTGTTACAACAGTTATTTCTATAATCAGTAAAAACCCATGGTTAGGGAAATTTTGCAGTTATTATTTAAGTCCATAAATGAACATGAATTCCCAAAAGAGGGTCTTCGCTCAAAATCACTGGAAAATGAGAAAGTGAATACAAGTTAAAGATGAATGAATTAAAATGCAAAGAAAGAAAAACTGTGCATAGGCAAGGCACAAAAAAAGATATCAATTGAGTGTCATCATCAACAAAGTTGCCCAGCTCACACCAGAAAGTGGTGCATTGCATGATCTCTCTCTCCCTATATCACCAAATCAGGAAAAAAATGTAATGATGACAACCATAATGCCCATGGTTGAAGTCATGGGCCCGGATAGAAATATAGCTTTGGTTCAATGACTGTGGCCTGAAAATGACAAGAGAGAAGTTACAAACATCTGCCAGACCCAAAGAGGACAGCAAGGACTTTATTGCCCAATTCCAGTATAATTTATTCAATTCAATTCAATTTTATTTATATAGCACCAAATCACAACAAAGGTCGCCTCAAGGCTCTTCATAGATACAGAGAAAAACCCAACAATCATATGACACCCTATGAGCAAGCACTTTGGCGACAGTGGGAAGGAAAAACTCCCTTTTAACAGG